ATGTCTGTCTTCAATAGTTCTACCCTATACCCTCGCTTCTTCCTGACAGGCCTCTCGGGCCTTGAAAACAGATATGGCTTGATTTCCCTCCCCATCTTTTTGGTTTATGCCACCTCAATTGCTGGAAACATTACTATCCTCTTCATTATCAGAACCGAGTCTTCCCTTCACCAACCAATGTACTACTTTCTATCGATGCTAGCACTCACTGACCTGGGCCTATCTACCACTACCTTGCCTACTATGTTCAGTGTCTTCTGGTTCCATGCCCGGGAGATCTCTTTCAATGTTTGTCTGGTCCAGATGTACTTCATTCATGTTTTTTCAATTATTGAATCAGCTGTGTTGTTGGCCATGGCCTTTGACCGCTATGTAGCAATTCGAGAACCCCTGCGCTATGCAGCCATTCTAACCAATGGCGTAATCTTTGGTATTGGGCTGGCCATTGCTGGAAGGGCCTTGGCTCTGGTCTTTCCAGCTTCCTTCCTCCTTAAGAGGCTTCAATATTGTGCTGTCAATATTCTCTCCTACCCCTTCTGCCTGCATCAGGACCTCATAAAAACAACTGTATCCAGCCATCGGGTGAGCAGCATCTATGGCCTCATGGTGGTCGTCTGCTCCATGGGACTTGATTCAGTGCTTCTCCTTCTCTCCTATCTCCTTATCCTGTGCACAGTGTTGAGCATAGCCTCCAAGGCAGAGAGAGTGAAAGCCCTCAATACTTGTATCTCCCACATCTGTGCTGTACTCACTTTCTATACACCAATGATCGGGCTGTCTATGATCCGTCGCTATGGGCAGAATGCTTCCCCAATTGTCCACGTGCTCATGGCCAACGTCTACTTGCTGGTTCCACCTCTTATGAACCCTATTGTCTACAGTGTCAAGACCAAGCAGATTCGTGACAGAATCCTCAAGAAATTCAAGAAACATAAAGTTTAGATAGAGGAGACTCTAAAACACAACTTTCCTCCCATTCCCTCTATATTTATGATAACATTTCATATTAATGTAGAATTTTGAATTTAAATATTACTACAATAATTTTCCTTTAAAACACTGCATCTAAACTTTGATAATAGTAATTTTGTTAATCTTTTTAATATATGGAATAAAGAAACAGTTTTTTATTATAGTGAAGTTGTTCATTATACCTTTTGAAGGCCCTCAATTTCTGAGACGATTTAGATTTCAAGAGAACTCTATGTCTAATACAGACCCTGTAGTCTAGATCGACAATATTTCCCCACATTATTTACCTTAATATGAAACTATTTTGAGTACATTTTAAAAATCCTCTGTTCCGAAGAGAAAAATATTGACGAATATTTCTCAGTTTTCATGACAGTGATCAATCATTCTATGTTTTAAAATGTGTTTTCTATGACCTGATCAGGAAGGAATACAGTCCTTCAGTATCTGTATTCCTCCACATATACTGTCCTGATCACACTTTTTTGTTTTCCAATGTCATCCTGCACTGGAATGCTCAAGATATTTTTCAAGAATTATATTCCTCATCTCTAATAATGGGATTGATGGAGATACTGATTTTAAATACTGAAGACTTTAACAATTTGATGCTAAAAAGACCTTGTTTCTAATTAACATGATCGATTGAAATATCTGTTTTAAAATTTTATAGCACAATATCCTTAAAGAGTTGTGCATATTCACTGGTTTAACTTCATCACCTCCCACTTAGATCTTAATGTGCTCTGGTTTAATTTTCATCTTCATGATTCCACTGAAATTGTACTTTCTTTCCAGTGATCTTCTTGTTATTAAAGTTAATATTCACATCTTTATTTAAACCTCTACTTCTAACAATGCCTTTTTAAAAATAACATTATATTTGATACTTTTAGACTTACAGAAAAATTTTAGAGATGGTACACAGATCCCATATATCTTGCACTCAGTT